GTAATAACCCTATTAAGATAGGCGTCTCGACAAAACGTTTTCAGGGCCCCTGGTTATTTTTTATTCTTCGACTTCTCAAGCCGAGCTCATTTTAAATTTTACGAAAACAGTACAGCGAAGCAAATTTTTCAAGACTAAATCTCGGATCTGCTTGTGTATTTACAGTCAACGTAGATTCAAATACCCTCTGCCCGTGAGGTCGAGGCTTCGAAGCAATTAAATCTACTTTCCAAAGCACCTGCACGGTATTAAACTCGACTCTTCCTTTTCTCCGGGCAAAGGGTCCAGCTTTTTCCTGCAGCTCTCGAGTCTAACAATGCACGACCCACTATCCCTTTTCCATCTAAACACTCGACTCGTTTCTCTTTCAAAGATTCACCGATGTACCGAAGCGATGGCGACGGCGCGGGCTCTCCTGCACATCCTCGCTTGGTGCCACGTCTCCTCGAGCGTATATACCGCTTTTTTGCTGTTGTTTTTGTTGGGATTTCATTCGAAATACAGCACTGCAAATAATACAAGTATATCGTATTATTAAAGTTTCACGCTTAAGGCAAGATTCAAAACGAACGACGGTCATCGCGGGCTACGTATTTGTTTTCGCTTCATGTCACGGCTCATTGGGTACCGTTTCATTGTACTTGGATCATTTCTCTTTGATTGCAAAAACTCGATTCTACGCTAAAGATGAACGGATCGCGTGTACGCAAAAAATTTTAAAAGAGAATTTAAATAGAGTTGAATCGCATTAGCAAAATCCGGTAGCCTCGAACAGCATCATAAATTCCATATTTAATTGTACGGGTGTGGGATAAAATAAAATATATAACATTACGAAAGATCGCGGTTGAACGTGATGTCCCGGAACTATAAGTACATCTGATTAAAAACATTAACCACGGAGGCTTTAAATTAATTATCATCTCGTTTACGGACCGAATGAACCATACGCACCCTTTTCCTTTGAAATTCGTGCCACTTGAGCCAATTGATCGCTTGATTATTGGATAATGGCTATTGTTACTTTGTTTTTGTGTGACAACTCTTGTGGAGCACATTAACAACAACTCAGGTTAATGACTGGGACGATGGACGATAGCAGAAAATTTTTCCTAATAAGTATTCGTTCATACAAAAAAAAAAAAAAAAAAAAAGACCTGGTGGTAACTAGACTCAACGAGGGTCGATTTTGATGCTCATCGGGATGCTTCGTTGTAGATATACATCACTTGATTAATACAAGTCCCTTGAAAGACAATGCCAGGAACATCAAGTCCACACCAATAAACAAAAAACCCGTAGTAACTGACAATCATAATGCAGTGTTTTATCTGGTATAAAGTAAACAGCAGAGCCCATCTCGCTCTCCCTCGTAGTGATGTCGCCGGATAAAAGTTGTTTTTCGGCGACTTGGCTGCACCACCGCGTAACATTTTTACAATATACCACTGCCTATACAGCTACCGAGCCGTAACTTTGCAATTATCGATCAAACGCTTGATAATGTTTGCGTTCTTCGACGGAACAAACAAACTACTCGAACCTGCGCGAGAGAAGGGGGAAAAGAAAAAAAAGATTCTCGCGCACCGAGGCAGCTTGAATAATTCTCCTTGAAGTTGGTAATGCAGAATTTTTCCCTGCGTCTTCTCTATATCCGGCTGCAGCGTGTATAGAAAGATGGGAAGGGTGGGTGCAGGTAAGCCGCGCGCGACCCAGCGATCCTTGCATTATAGGTGAGCGCGTCGAGCTAAAAGTATCTGTATATATAAATATCTCGTAAAAAAAGTCGGAATCCTTCCTATGTCTCTCTTTCCTCGTCCGCCGCGTTGAGTACCGCAGTCGCGCGATAGCTCGCCGAGATGTTGCATGTATGTGAGGAAAGGCAAAAGAGAAGGCTCCTCTCGAGTGTTGTAATGTCATCCAAGCAGTGAACCGGCGCACGAGTCTCTCGGGTCACGCGAACTCTCTCTCTCTCTCTCTCTTCCGCACCACCGCGAGTCATATACCTTCTCTCCGGTCTACTTTATCAAAGTCGTGCGTGTGACCTCTCGATACTGTGCACATGCCCATATTATTATACCCTTCAACGTGACATCGCAACGAGGATATTATGTGGCAAGTCGGTAAGTCCCCCTTTTCCGTAAATCCTCGGATCATCCCGGGTGTACTTTTACGTGTCTCTCTCCTTTGATCATCTTTACATACTTGCTCGCTCCATCGTCGTCGGGAGGTGTTTGTGTTTGTTTATAACTCTCTGCTCCACCCACTATCTCTTTTTCTCCGTCTACGACTCGGGCGACAGCGATTTTAAAGACTAGGTCGTGGGTCAAGGTTGCCAGTCGCAGTCGTTAGAAAGAGGGCGGGAGGGAGGAGTGCCGAGTGACGGGACGCGCCAAGGCGGAGGGGGCATTTTTGGCCGACACCGGATCTCTTCCGAGTCGCCTTCTGTCTCTCGAGTCCCAAAACAGCGACGATCCACTTACGCGCGCGGGAGTTGTCTTCCTCCTCCGCTTGGATTTTGGAATTTGGCGCAATGTCGCGCCAGCCGTGTCTCTTTTGCTTGCACACGCGTTTCCATGGACCACCACCTGCGCCGGTACATTTGACCAGCGGCTTTTTTCTTTTTTCGGGTTCTGCGGTGCACTACTCGTCGGTGGCGCTTCTCCCAGAGAACGGCTTCTTCTTCGTCGATGACCTACTTGTGGGCTGATTCTGTATGAGCCGATGAATAGAATAGGCCGAACACTCTCTCTCTCTCTCTCTCACGGTCGTGTCCTCCCTCCCCCCCCACGCACACATGTTATTGAGAACGTGCGAGATTTATTATAACGTTACTGTGTCAAAGTAGGCCAAAAGTTATCTGAGGCCGCTAATTTTTTTTTATCGTTGTTATTGTGTATACCAATTGCCCGCGATTCGAGTGTCCGTTTGATGACAACTTTTTTTTTTTTTTTTTTTTTTCATGTATATATATTTTCCTTACTCGTACGAGGATTGATCAATCAGCGAATACATTACACGCCTTACGTGATCGCGTCCTTCGTCTTCGCGAGCCTATCGAGAATCCGTTCCGAAACAAAACGAGACGTAAAAATAACACTCGACGCTTATATTTTCACAGTATGCTTTGATGAATAAACAAACGCTTCAAGATGCATCTGTTTTGCGAGGCTTCTGTACGATTGCCATTTGTTGCTTTTGCCTGCTGATGCGTGGTGTTGAATGAGGTTGAAAAAAAGTCGTGTTTTACCATAATTTCATACCGATTGAAAATCTTAATTTGTACGAAAAAAATTTCATACCATAGTTTAACCTAATTAAGTATTTAAACTAAAATCGTGAATCACCGAGCTTAATTGAAGGAATAATAATTTCTTTGATTATCCAAATTTGAAAACTGAACCACGTTTTTTAATGAAGCCAAGATAAAACGATTCTATTGCTCTTGGTAGGCAGATGCTTTATTTACAAACTTGACCGGTGACAGCTAAATGTCTTTTTCTTTTTTTGTTTTTTTTTTTAATTAACTTCTTTGAACTCATCCACATTCTTATCACTTGGGCAGCTCGGTCGAAAAGAGAAACGAATTTTCGAGTCTTTCGAAAAAATCAAAAAATTTGTTTGCCGCAGTCCCTCCCGAGAAAAGTCGCGTTTATTTTTCGAAGCTGTACCACCTACATCACTTGGGTTCAAGCCAAAGTTAATATTGTGTGATAGCACGGCTTTTTCGTGTTGGCTGTTTTTTCGTATCGAATTTTCGCATCTTATCTGCGCGGCTGCAGCGGAGGGTATAGGCTGCTACCACGCGCGTGGCTATTTCTGTACGCCTTGCGTCCACTTATCGAAAGACTGTATAGCTTCAATCGCGCGGCCAGTGCGATGTTTTTTTTTTTTTTTTTATAGAATCATTGTGATTTCGCGAGCAAAAGTCTCCCCCCCCCCCCGTCTGATATACTCAATTGTTGCTTCTGTAATAAAGATTACGAAAAAGGAAACTCGATTCACAACTTGCGTTTGGTCGTTTTGAATTATTATTCCAGATGTTCGTGCAAATAATAAGGAAAAAAGGGGGAAAAACAATAGCCAGATTAAGACCGCCTGTACATATATAGTACTACTTTTAATTTAGAACAACACAATGAAACTTCAATGTCACGAGTCATAATTACCAGAGGGGGGGGGGGTTTATCACTCTTTTATAGTTGTAAATCACGAATTCTGCGAATATGTTGTCTCGCAAATATTGATTGCCAGCAGCGACTGCACCTAATTACTCATTAACGAGATGGACGAAACCCACGAAATACGCGCGCCTTTATTATCATTGAGTGTATTTCTGCTTGTACATAGAGGCGAGCGTTTTATCCACAACAAAATGTAACGTGGATGATGAAATTTTTGCTCGGCGTTATTCATTTGTGGGCGCAATCGCCCGATAACTCGCACCGATTAAAACGAGGCTGTTGTGTCGTACGTGTCCGTCCGAGATTAGTGTTTTGTTCAAATGTTGGACTGGACATGAATCATTGAAAAACTCTCACAGATAGGTTGGAAATTTGTATCAACGCCTGAGCAAAAAAACAATCGAGCATCGCGCGCACGTTCAGAAGAGAAACAAAAACAATTTATAGGTTGCGGTTCTCAGCGTACACCTGACAGGATTCACAAAGATGAGTAACAGAGTTCGGTATGCCGTCAATGAAAATACCACGAAGCGCGGTAAGAACAAAAAAATTTACTCATCGCCTTATTTTACATACGCGTGCACTTGCACCCGAGAACAGAGTCGTCATTTTTCTTTGTTCGTAGCTTACCTAATCGTCTCCCCTGCAGTCTTGTGTCAGGTGTAACCATTTACATTTATTATTACCACACGTGCCAATTTTATCGTTGAAAATAATAATGAGGGTAGTTTTTGTTGAAAAATGAACTTCTCAAATCGTTGCGATTGATTAAAAAAGAAAATTAACCAATTTCGTTTTTAATATTTGATGTTGCAGGATCGAATGGAGAGGGTACCTACCACCTCAAGGTACTGGTGCCAGGAGTCGCAGCCGGTGCCATTATCGGAAAAGGCGGCGAGACCATCGCCCAGCTGCAAAAGGACACCGGGGCAAGGCTCAAAATGTCCAAGTCCCATGATTTTTATCCAGGTTGGTGTACCTCCGTTTCATCAAACGCCAACATTTTCGCCGATTCAGCCATACTCGCGTACATAATCCTCTTTTTGTTTTTCGTACTGAACGTAACACTATAACTTGCTCGGACGAGAAAAAACGCGGACGCCTACGTCTGGCGTAATTTTATCTCTCGATCGACCTTCACGCGCATACCGCCCGGTCATTTTACAGCAACCGACCACGCGACCTTGCATATAATAACCGCGATTGATACACACTCGGATCTTCCCATTGTTGTTACGTTTGTTTTTCTCGTATATTTTATACACGTATATAAAGTTACTTGCGCGGCAACAAGCCTTACTCGTATCGGTTGAAATTTTTTTATTTTTTTTATTTTTTTTATTTTTTGTATATTTGACTCGTGTCACGCAGTGCCATCATCATCCGCTAAATGTATGTTTTTCTTTGTGTTGTGTTCGTTTACAGGGACAGCCGAGCGCGTCTGTCTCATAACTGGCAGTGTGGAGTCAATAATGGCGGTAATGGACTTCATCATGGAGAAAATCCATGAAAAGCCGGACCTGATGTCCAAGGCCGCGGCCGAATTCGAGTCTACCAAATCAGCCTCCGAGAGGGAAAAACAGGTATCTCGAGAATTTTTGTGCACTTCGTCCTCTTCTTCTTCATATGGTCGACATCGTCGTCGTAGTCGTCGTCTTCTGCTTTTACACTTTTGCTTTTTCCTCGTCTTGGTCTTCCTAACGATTCATAATACGTGCCTCGCTGTCGTTTCTGAGCGCGCAGGCAAGACAACACTGAGTAACAATACTTGCACATTTGATTTTTTTTTTTTTTTTTTTTTTCTATCATGCCTGGTTTGTCAACGGGTAACGCTTGTTTCGTGGCCATTATTTTTATGAGAGAAAAATCGCGCGATACCTCGGACGCGTTTTTTTTTTACACATCACGGGGGTCATGGCGTAATTCGTGCTGCTGATGCAGAAACGCGCTATTTCGATATAACAAATATTAAAGTACGAGTTCATGTTGTATAGAATCGACGCTTATTTGGCAACATCTGCGCGTTCCCATTGGCACGCTCAATTAAAACAAATTTTTTCGCGACTTAATATTAACCAACACTATTAATAATGGTAAAATCTGGTTTTTCTTACAACGTCCCAGTTGCTAAAGAGCGATAGCCAAATTTATAGTTCATTTCGCGTTCTACATTCAAATGAGAGCAAGTTTATTGTACAATAAAGTGTTACTCTACCCCGAGAGTGCATGATATTGCGAATAGTAAAACTCGACGCGATCAATCCCTCAAGTAGGTTAATGAAGCAATTCTTTAAATCAACAGCCTTTTATTTCCAACTCTGCTCTCAACTATTGATAATCCAAGGATTGATGTCGAAGCACACTTGATTTCTAAAAAAGACGAGTGACGCGACGTGCCAAAGCAGTACTTTTGTTACTTTATTTATACGTGTAAGCCATTCTTACTCGGTTTATTTATTGATATTGTATTCAACGAAATACATAAATTTTATTAATGTACGCATATGTAATCACATTTCATCGATTTGATGCAATACAATTTTAATAAATACTGTGCAATCTCAGTAGACGTTACGTAAACGGTTGATTATAGAATGTTTTAACGTTTTTTCCTTCTCCCCCTGCTTTGAACAGCTTATTTTATTATGATGATGTGATAGTTAAATTGCTCAGTACGTTTTTTTTTTTTTTTTTTTTTTTTCACTAACGTTAAAACTCTACATAATGTTGACAACACGTTGTAAATCGACATTTTACAAGTATGGAGCTAATTAGTTGAAATTCACGAATCAAGAAAAAAAAGAACATCCATAATTACAAAAGGCACTAATTGAACGCGCATTCACGTGAAACATCAGCCAGAAATAATCGATAAACCTCGCGAGTCCTAAAAAAAACTCATTTTTTCATCGGACAAACCAAACAGAGTCGAGTAGAAGAAGTTAGTTTTTCCTCCAAAAAGTCATAAAAGATTAGGCTCCGCTTTTAGCTGACGAGGCGCGACAGTGTACACTCATTACCAGATAGATCCTCGCATTAGCCTGAACTGGCTGCGACAACGTTTATATATGTATATGCACGTAAGGCAAACACTCACGTACATTGCACACTAAGCGTTCTCTCTCTCGTTAGCAATGACCCAGTTAGAGAAACGCTGTTCACGCCTTTATGGTTTCACTCGGCGCAGGGTATCCTCCACGACTGCCATGCATTTTTTTTTTTTTTCGGCCTTCTATCGCAGGCGCTTACAGGTGTATATACGTGCAAACATATACTCGCTTATTTTGGCTCGCGCGCGTGCTCCCCCGAGGTCGGCCTCTTCCAAGTCGCATTAGGAGCAGCCTAAGCCCGACATTGGCAGTTTCATTGCCAATCGGTCGCAATTGCATCCACAGCCGCTCTGCGCGGTCGGTTGAGAACGCTTTTATATTTACACCCGCGCGCACATCGATGAGAAGCGGTATTTAATTGTCAAAGCCTCTTAGAGTCGCTCGCGTACGTGTATACGCCAGTAATTTACTTGAATAGCTGATGGCCTGCAATGATGGTGTCTTGCCTGCGCGTGTAGCTGCGCCGGTCACGAGAGCGCTTGGAGGCTTTCGCTTGCTCCTATTTTTAGCAGGACTGCCGATGCCACTGCCGCGGAAAAGCGCTTTTTCAGGCGCAAGCCCGAGCTTTTTTCCCCTCCCCCATTTTTGGTCTTTAGCAATGTATATTAGGACTCGCGTAGGTTTTTCTTCTTCAATATACAAGTCAAATTAAAATCAGGGCAGATTTGGGATAATTCAGTTACTAGTTTTCGGAGCATTTCATTGTATACCTAGTTTAATTATCTAGAGCAAGATGTCTCAAAGGCTTTTCAATAATATTATTGATCGCGTACAACAAATTTTATCCTTCACGTAGATGGCTCGATATTAGAGAATAACACGAGCTTGGTCTGCATAAGCTCGGGAGTTTTATTTTTAGTTCAAAGACATTCAAAGATTTTTATTAGGCACGCTATTTTTATATACTAGAGTTTTCAAGTTCCCCCACTAACATCGCTTGGAACTGCTATTCCTGTGTTGTTGTTGTTGTTGTTTTTTTTTTTTTTTTATCGAGTCAATGTCAATTGTTGTTTTTTGTACTTATCATCATCACATCGCACGTGTATCATAAGCTTGAAAAAAAATGTAATTAACCCGTGCACACTACCCAATAATCAATAATAAGAATAATCGTATAATCACGTTAATATGTATAAATGTAACACCACTTCGCCAATCATACGCATCATGAATAATAAAGGAAAAAAAACAACATGTTTCTCCGGTTTTGGTGTGTCAGGTGAAAATCCTAGTGCCAAACAGCACGGCCGGCATGATAATAGGCAAGGCCGGTAACTACATCAAGCAAATAAAAGAAGAGACAGGCTCGTACGTGCAGATCTCGCAGAAGGCCAAGGACGTGTCGCTCCAGGAGCGCTGCATCACCGTCATCGGCGACAGGGAGAACAATCGCAACGCCATCATGATGATCCTGGCTAAGGTGGCCGACGATCCGCAGAGCGGCACTTGCTTGAACGTGAGCTACGCCGACATCACCGGACCCGTGGCCAACTTTAACCCCACCGGCAGTCCTTACGCCAATGCACCCGCAGCCACGCCTGCCTTCCAAAACACCGCTGGTCTCAACACAGGTATGTACACGCTCATCTCCATTCTTCTGTTGTTCTCGTCTAAGATCTTTGTCGATTTCCATTACACGGAAGACTTGCAGCTCCGAGCACTCATACAATGTTTAAAATTTACTCTCCTATTTGGAGCGACGCGGATCCCTGGTAATCTGGCGTTTAATTAATATCAAATAATACGCACATCAATTATCGGCTCTCCTCAAGAATCTCAAGTGCACCGCTGCGCCTAGTCGAACGGTTGTAATTTATGCATTGAATCTGCAATGAGAAATAACTAGTCAAGAATAACTTGATCGGCGCGTTGATTATTTCTAATGTTGCGGGCACACAGCTTTTGATGAAACTTTGAATCTCGCTGACGTCGTTTATATCGAAGATTATCCGAGTTTTTCTTTATCATTGATTGAAATGACGTTGCGTTGGCTCTCGAAAACCCTCCTCTCACGCAAAAGAGCATGTTCACTTCTCCTTTTTCAGAATAAACCCAAACTAGTATGACTATCGCTTCAAAAGTACTGTTTTCTTAGTTAATTAAAATAAACTAATGTTTAGTTCTTATGCCCCAAGCAGTGGGCCTGCTCAATGGTGCTGGTCTGAATCTGAACCTGAACCTCGGCGCGGCACTGTCCGCCGCCAGTTCGAACCCTAGCTCCACGTCCCAGCTCCTCGAGCACATTAAGTTGAGCTTGCGCACCACCGGCTACGGCGAGCCCGCTGCCTCTGAGATCCTCACGGCAATCGCCACCCTCGTCAAGTACAACGTCCTCGGCATGGGCGTGGGCATGCCCTCGGGCATATCCTACCTGGGCAACGCCATGGACTCGCAGACAACGGCCGCCGCTGTGGCCAACGGATCCAACAACAACGGTGGCGTGTACGGTGCCATTGGCACGGTGCCAACCCTCGGCTCCACCTCGCCCACTCCGCGAGCAGCCCTCGATCGGTTCGAGACCTTCGTCGATCCGTTCCGGCAGAACAGCAACGCCGCAGCAGCAGCAGCAGCAGCCGCGGCCATGAACATGAACAACAATTCGTTTGGCCTGGGCACAAATCAATTGTCACTCGTAAGTAAGAGCCCCGCCGGCCAGGTGGACGCGGCCAACGCAGCCGCAGCCGCCGCCGGGATCAAGGAGGGCAAGAAAGACGTTGAGATTGCAGAGGTTATAGTGGGAGCAATATTGGGACCCGGCGGTCGGAATCTCATTGAGATACAGCACCTCAGCGGCGCGAACATACAGATATCGAAGAAGGGCATCTTCTCCCCCGGTACCAGAAATCGCATTGTCACGATCACGGGCTTCCCCGATGCGATCAGAACGGCTCACTACCTGATTGAGCACAGGATCAGCGAGGAGGAGGCTAAGCGAGCGCGCCACAATACCATTACCGGCATGATTCATTGATCGGCATCATCCCTCGTTGAGCCGACTAACAACCAAGTCGCTGCCGCCACAGCCGCCGCCGCCGTCTCCGCTGCTATCCACGATCGGTTGGCCTGGCTGCTCGTTTGAAAGCTTGTCGTAGTCGTTGTCGTAGTTGTCGTCGTCGTCGTCGTCGCCATAGTCGTTTATTCAAAACATAAAATCCAAAACTTAGTAATACGCGCTTACTCTCTTTCATCGTTCTTACCGGATACGAGCTCACCAATTGGATGTACGCTTTTTTTGCATCATTAGTCTTACTTGACATTTGTTGCAACCCATCGTTGGGAAACATTATAGTCTGTTTTTTTTTTTTTTTTTTTTTTTTACATATGTTTTATGTACCATGTTTTTGTTGGAAAGTTGCTTTTTTCCTCAGTTGCATCCAACCGCTGAGCTTGTCGCCTCGACAACGCGCACGCGACAACGTATTCTTCTTTGCATGCACAATAATACTTTGATCGTTGCGATGCATATGTATGAAACATACGTATGTAGATTTAGAGCGCGTGCGAGTACTTTCGAACGAGCGGTCAGCCTCCTTGACGAGACTAAAGCGAAAGGCAAAAAAAAACTTCCCCCATGCCATGATTTTTTGTCTCACCACAATATAAGCGAACATTTGAGCACTACCAATTTTTTTGTTCTTACAAGTAGCTTCGTTAATTGCCCCCTTATACCCCGCCCCCTTTTACCCTCGTTATAATTATTGTCATTGTACACCCAGTGGGTTATTCGTGTAATGAATTAACGCATCGCTAGGGTGACCATTGCTTTCCAAAGAGAACTTGCTAGAGTCTCTCACGACTTGTTTCGAGTCTTGGGAGAGTCCAATTATTTTACCATCACGATGGTAGAAAAGACGCACTCTTGAATTCAAATAAACAATGCTGACATTTCAAAAATAATCATGCAGAAATACGCAACACAACTTGTATGTACAAATGTTACATAAATAATATGTTGTAGAAATATTATTTGAATCCAATGGGTATGAGCTTTTAGCTTGTCCATGCACTTCTCTTCACTCGCATATACCCAAAGTTCGCTTTGAAGGTTTTCTTTGGTAGTCAGAGTTGAAACAAACGCAAAGAAAAACGCAGGGGAAAAATTTAAAAAGGAAAAACAAAAAGTTGAATGAGAGCATAAGCAAAAGAATCCCGACACCCGTTGTCACCTTATCGCAGCATCACTATAGCGCCTGCATTGCTACTACTACTACTACTACTACTATTGAAACTACTACTACTATCAACATCATCACCATTCATTATCATCCATCACGGCTCGTTAAAACAATTGATTCTACTTTTAAAAAATTCATATATAAATACAAATATATATATAAATGTATATATATATATAAGTATTACATGTTATATAGAGAAAAATAAAAGTATAAGCTATTAAAACAATTGTTCTGTGATACACCATGTTATGGGGCTTTACATACACATGAAATATAACATTCACATGAGAGAACACACGCCATACGTATGTATTAAAAATAACTCTATATATAAATGCAAATTACACACTCACGTTAACAAAGGAAGAATGAGTAAAACACATTTATTCATTGAAACATCAAAAAACATTACAAATGCACTACATACATCTCCATGTTGTATGGATTTATTTCAAAAGATCAAAGCATTCATATTCAATCGATCATGGAAGCAAAAAAAACTCTTGACAGTCATCGAGACAGTTGAATACAGCTATTCGAGGGCTTGATAAATTTTATTTGACATTTTTCATGTTGATCATCAAATTTGGACGTTTTGTTACGAAAGCAAAGGTTAAAATCAAATATTAAGAAGTTCTTTTAAATTTATCTAAGACGAAGAAAATGATCCAATAAAATTTCCAACTCCTTGAACGGCAAACTCGCTTTTTTTGGTGAAAAAATCTTAAGAGTCTTTCAATCAGTTTAAACAAAAGGCAAAAAAAGCACGCAGTGCTTTATCTGACGTTTCTCGTTTTTTAGTTGATTCGCCGATTCAAAGGTAAATCGGCTTTGTTTGAAACATGTTTTACACATGCCATAGTGAATCATCGAAAGGGAGAGTTCATTCGTTAAAATACAAGCGACATGGGCCTGTGCAATGAGCGTTTGACTGTTTGACGAAACCGTGAAATCAGAAAGACGTGAAAACCTTAATGTTACCAGTCTGGGTCGTTGTCTATACCAAAGATACAGAAAAGTTGACAGACAGATCGAAGAAGGCCTTTGTTGATAAAATCCATTGTAACATTATATTTATAAGGTGCTGGCTGGTCCGGTGCCCAGACACACGATATTAAGCGCATCGTTCCTGCCCCTCTTCCACGTATAACCATCACCCAACATCTAGCTCATTACTTACAAATGGCTCCAAAGATTCATCCTTGTTGTTCGTCTACTCTTTATCCTTCGATCTGCCTGTGTCATAACTCGGACGCATACCGTAAATAATAATCGTTTTTCGCATTTCCGTTTCGTACAATCGAACTTGTATTGCAGAGGTCCCGGTGTTACTTGCGTTTACTTGTATAAAATCATACTATCCGATCAAAGACAAACACAACAATGAGTGAAAAAAATGTCGTACTTTTACTTCTTCTCCAAAGGAGCGTATGGCACGCACATTTTTTCGAATTAACGTTTGCACGTAAGATTATGAATAAAACCGAGCGTAAAAGATTAGGAATAATTATAATTCACGCGATGTTGAAAAAAAAAAATATATATATATCAGAGGTTATAGTGGG